TTTGTTCCAATCTTACTGCTTCTGTGCTACATCTTACTGAATTTGTTAAAAATGATCCTGAAAACCATGATTATGCAAAATCGCATGGCATCAGACTTCCTTCTAGCAGAGAAGGGAGAGGTCTGTGCCCTTGTTGGTGATTATTGTTGTACATTTATTCCTGATTCGACTGGTGAAATGCAAGCTTTACAGGAACATCTCCAATCACAAAAAGATGATTCACATTGGGCTTGGGACAAAAATCTGCTTTCCTGGCTCACTTCCAGTTCCTGGTGGAGTATCCTTTTAAAATTACTTATGCCTGTTATGATTGTTTTTATTTTGCTTTGTTTGATTTCAACTTGTGTAATACCGTGCATTAGGTCAATGATTGCTAAAATGGTATCTACTAGACTAATGTATGTGCATGCCTTGTACCAACAAACTTATTCTCTCATTCCAACTGCCCCACTAATTGACGAGAACACCTCAGCTGTTTGAAGTGTTCAACTGTGCTATAGTTCCGAAATGATGTCTGTGTAGAAAATCTAATTGAAGTTGTACATGACTGATAATGAGAAGTTGTTCTATTTCACAGTTTAAATTGATATGTAAAACAGCTGTTAAGATGTTGTAAATACATTTATTCAATCTTAACAATATATTCATTGTATTAAGTTTCCATATCAGTTTATACTGTTATTGAACAAACTGGGGTATGAACTAACAGCATATTTTACAGTCCTATATAACAGAAAAAGTTTCCTGACAGAAAGAGAGAGAGAATATAGAGTGTGATATCACCTGATCTCTGTTGTTAATATTGAAGTAAGGCAGTGTCCCTGACATCAACTCAAACAGCACTATCCCATAGCCGTACACATCTGACTGGAAAGTGTAGGGGTTACTGTCCTGCATCCGGATCACCTCTGGGGCCTTCAGAGAAAAAATAAAAAACAGAAAGGACTTTGACATTTTTTTTCATCTTCTTAAGATTTCATCTTCTTGAGATAGTCATTCATCTGGAAGCAGCAGCTGTTGTAACAACTATTTTCACTGATAGTCCTTCTTGAATAACAAAACATGTCACTTTCTTTACAAAACTAAACCAAAATATCAGTCAAAAGAAGTCCTTTTTTAATCAACGTGACCACGTTCAGAGAAAGATCTACTCACCATCCAGAGGATGGAACCACTTGGTTGCTCCACCTGTTGAGAACCGCTCCACCGAGACTTCACTGTGGCTAAGCCAAAGTCACCGATCTTTACAGTCCAGCCTTCATGGAGGAAAATGTCTGAAGACAAAGCTCAGAAACTCTTTATTCGTATGGGTGCAACAAAGAAGTTAAAACTTCCTCCTCCTTTGATTACAGTGTGGTGAAAGAGGAGGACGATAAGAAAAGTGACTGAAGACTGATAGACAATGAAGATAAAAGGATACTATTGGATTTCAGATCTCGGTGAATGATGTTCTTGGCATGAAGATAACTGAAAGTACAAGAAAAAAACTGTCAATGTGATGTTAATCAATGAAAATGGAAACTGTGCAACATGAGTCCAAAATGAACTTTTTAAGGCCAGCAACTTTCACACATGCTCTCTAACACCAATTGGTTGTTGATATTTTGGTTAAACACATGCTATTGTGTTGGTACTTTATAGTAATACAATAAAAAAAACCCCACAAAGACACACAGGTCTATTCTCTGCACAATGTCTGAGATGATTGCATCTGAACTTATATTTTAGTCACTCACTAACAAACTAAAATGAGGTGGAACAAATATATTCATGTTTCCTTGTATTGAAATTTTGATATTGGTATACAATACCAAAAAACACACTTTAACCACTGACAGTCAAAGATAGTTTCTTTTAATAAAGGCCGTTTCAAAGGCTACTTTATGACTACCAATACTGGAGCGACAGCAATGACTAGGTCTTTAGTTTAGACGCATCCAAATGTCCCAGAGTTAAAAAATTCTTCTTCTCTTTTCTCCGGCCTCTCTGTAACCTTTCAACCAAGTCAACCGTGCCCAACGTCACACAATAACCACAATGACAGATGCCAGTCTTCTTCTGACTGAATTTTGTTGCGCCAGGTCTGTGTGAACGGTGCAAGATTGCTGCAAGGCTCCATAGTTGTATAACAGCCGTGTAAACATGGTCAAAGTGTATTAACTGTAAGCTGCTTTGGATAAAAGTGTCTGCTATATGTAATGTAATGTAATGTCCCACCCATCAATTTTCATCCGCTTCGTTACCGGGTCACCGGGTCACAGGAGCAGCAGTCTCCACGACCACCACCCAAATCACACTGCATCGTACCAACCACCCTGAACATTTCTGCGGGTGGTGAGTCCACTGGAAGGGACCAACTGCCCTAACCGGGATTCGAACTTGCACAGAAGGTGAACCCTGGGATTCCACACCAATGACAGATACATTGCCTCTGGGCCAAAGTGCCACTTAATGTAATGTAATAATGAGCAAATAAAATATAACAGCAGCTCTTACTCCATGCCCTGTGCTGTCTGTCTGGCCACATCGATGCGTGTCATTGTGTCAAACTTGGTCTCTTTAACGTGCAGGTGGCGGTACAGACTACTGCCTTCACACCACTGTGTAATGATGGCGAAGTTGGGCTTAGTCATGTAGCCCATAAATAGCAGGATGTTGGCGTGACGGGTCTTCCTGTAAAAGAAATGATAGACATTTGTTTCTTTTTTTCAGGTTCTTTTTGTTAGATACATCCATTTGTGGCTGGTGTCTTTCACTGCCACACAACACTGTAAATAATTCTGCATCTTTGTTTCAAGACAACAAAATTAAGACATTTAAACATATCATTAAACATTTTAAGGTCAAATCCTTCTATTAAACAAGCATTTATTTGGTTTATTTTTGAAAGTTATAATGTTTCAAAAAGTACCACCACTAACCTTAAAACCTGCATCTCATTTTTGAAGGCCTGTAACTGCTCAGGTGTTGGCTCTGTCACCTTAAGGATCTTAATGGCAACATCACCGTGCCACTTCCCCTTATAGACAGTTCCGAAGGATCCAGCGCCAATCCTCTTCAGAATGGTGACCTCTCGAGAGTGGACCTCCCAGTAGTAACTGGAGTCCCTGTAGCCTCCTCGGTGCTAAAACAAAACAATCTGATTACTGACCTTATTTTAGAAAATAAACAAACAAAAACAGGAATGTGAGTTTGGGGATTTTTACCCACCACTTTTTTTTTGTCATCAGATGAAGACGGCTTCCTTTCCTTGTGTTCAGAAGGTGACTTTGGTGGCTTTCTACCTAGTGAGCTGCGAAAAGGGGGGGTGGTAGAGAGTTGAGGACCTGTGGGGAAGTCAAAAGTTTAAAAACAGGTAGAATTTTAAAAAAAGGAGAAAATAAATATTTTATTTTATTTTCATACCTGTTGTGTTGTTAAATTTTAGTGCGTCCTACGAGAAAGAAAAAAGTATTTTGTTAACATTGTTGATGTTTTGAACACGTTGTTTACAATTATTTCTACAATGAATTTTGCTTCAATAAACATATTTTGAAGTGACCACTGACACTACACTCTATCTGACCTCTATGATGCTGGCACCAGCTGGACTCACTGTGCTGACCATGTGAACATTTGGAGTGGATGTGGACCGATGTCTCTGTAATGACTGACCGTCTCCAGCAGGGATGGGGAAGTGAAAGGCTGATGTGGGTGACAGAAGGTCCATTCTAGGAAATAAATATTAATTTGTTAATTTAATTTTCTGAAAATCATACAACATTGAAAAAAGAACATGCAAGTATCTATTTGATTATTTGTAGTGTTAAAACTTACTCAGCAGGCTCTAGGGTTAAGGCTAGGCTGCTGTTTGATGGGGAATTTTCTGGCAACAGTATTTGTGGGTATTCACCTGTGCAGAGATTAGAATCACATCTACAAAAAACAAAATGAAAATTAATCAGAATGAAGAGATCAAGCACACAGTTCAGTACAGCATGTATTCATAAATTGTAATCTTGTCTGTATTTTGGATTAAGGAGTGGCTGAAGCATTTTTGCCATGATTTTAGTGACCTTGAAAGCTTTAAGAGAAGCTTAATCTTAAAGAGAAAAAAAAGCACACACTGCTGGTACTAATATACATTTTCACCATGTTGATTATTAACATACTACACCACAGCATGCAGAACACTGATCTGTTGCCTAGCACAAGCAGGATCCAGTGATCCACACAGGATACACCCAGTTCCTTAAGATTTCTGTTACTAACTCACCGTTTGCTCACAGTATCCATGTCAACGCACACAGTGGGGACTTTACTACTACAGTGCTGGTGAAACTTGTAGCCACACGTCTGACATCTGAAGCCATTAAAAAGAAACTTGTGGCAAAAATCACAGTAAGCTAGCTTGAAGAAGGTTTTACGTACCTGTGCAATGTAAGAGGAGATTATTTATTTTCAAATTTAAATCAAAGTCATACAACAATCAATGTGCCTTGTGTTCTGTAAGGGCTTTACTTACAAAATTGTGCATGGTGAGAGGAATATCATCCAGGACCTCGACTATGAGCTCTTCTCCAACCAGAGGAGTGATGTCTGTTTCCCAGTCTGTCAATCTCTTACGACTAAACATATAAGGACACAAAAAATACGGAGATGAACAGTTAAGACCACCATGGTTATTACATGTAGAAACTACACATGTAAATATTATTACAAATAAAAGTTAAGAACGACTGAAAAGATTGAAGCTGTCCAAAACATTCTAAAATTATTTCAAGACAGAAGGAAAGAAATACAGTTAGACAACTAAAAAAAAGCCATCCAAAAGATAAAAGCAGCATAAGATGAGCAGTGATGAGTCACTTGGTTGCTTCCATGTACTGAGCCTTGATGTCAATACTGCTACACATACATATACTCTCTTATAAAAAGGAAGTCATTTATAAAATATTTAAAGCCACTGTCAAGACAATCAACATACCCCAGAAGTGATGGAAGGTGTTGGCAGAAATTAAAACTCCAAAGGTTACAATAGAAATACATAAATAACATATAAACAAAAGAAAAAAAAATCTCACCCTTCTAAAAGACGGTAGACAGCACAGCAGTCCTGGCTCAGGCCTCTGACTTTAAGAGCTTTGTCCAGACTCTCACTAACTGTCTGTCCCTGACGAACATTCACCTACAACAAGAATTGTCAAAGTCAATGTAAATTTTGGATTTGAGTGAAAGGTGATGTAAATATACACTGTACTCTGTAGGCCTACAGACATAAGAAACAAAGGTCCTTTGCTTTGTTTCAGTAGGGGACAAGCAGTAATTGTATAGAAGCTTTGTTTTTTGTTGCTCAAGCTCCTCTTTTTTCCCCAAAAACTCACTCTTACTGGCAGCAATATTAGCAAATCAACTTTGATCAGCAATAAAAATGGTATTCCATTTTATTTGCACAGCCTGAGAAAAGCTGTTATTTTTAAGAATAGTGTCCAGTGTCACAGATGGCAGACAAACTGTGACACTGGACACTAACTGTTGATTGACTCCATCATTCATGTGCTGAGAAGGATTTCAAATTGTGGTGTGAGTGATTACACTTTCAACCCACACTTCTGGCAAATCTTATCCTTCACTAAATTCTCCGTTTGAACTTAACACTTTTATATTTCTTAGTGTACTGTAAAGCATTACATTTTAAAAAAAAAATTAAAAACTAAGGGTCTCACCACTGTTCTCTGTTTGTTAGGGAGGTAGACTCTAATGGTGCCTCCACCTCGAGGTACATCCTCTGGACTGGTCTCCCCCGAGGAGGAGTAACAGGAGGAAGTGGATGACATAGTGGAAAAAGTACTGCTAGTAGTTGTGATGCTGCTAACTGAAGACAGCTTCTTGCAAAACTGGACTCAAAAGAGTAGCCTCTTTACTTTAAACCTGAAACATTATAGACACAATTTAGTAATATGTTTTCTCTCATTTAACTTGAAATGGCTAATTGACATTTAAAAAAAAAAAAAAATCTGCCAGGGGCTTCTTTTTAAAGGCAGACAGTAACACATTACACAGAGCAGCAGACAAACACAGCAAGAGATAACGCATAATATTCTGTAATATAAGTTGAATAGGAAAGAAACACACAAGACTAAAATTGGGTTAAAACTGTGTTAGTTGTTTAAAAATGTATTTAAATAATCCATAATAAGACACTAACTCTCTAATTGAAAGGTTGCACAGTCAGTTCTAAGCTGATTAAAACTTTTCTCCAAAAAAAGAACAGACTTGGTGGAAATCTATTACAAATCTAGTATGTTTTGTAATATATAACATAATAATGATTCAATACAAAATGAGAGAAAAAACACTGCATGTTGATAAATCTAGTGGATACTGAAATACTGGTCTTGTATTTTATAAAACTACAAATTGTACCTACTGAAATATTTGTAAACTCACTTTAAATGGTTTATAGTCAACCAAGTCGGGCTAGTATAAAATTATAAAGCAACAAATGAAATGAAGGCACACCAAATGATGGACAAAATTTGATATATCTTGTCAGAATATTATTTGGGTGTAGATTCAGCCTAAACATATAAGAAATTGGCATTTGGGTAACTTTAAAATAAAATATTCAAATGAGATACAGTAGGTTAAAAAAGGTGAAACGTAAAGTTATCCTATTACTTCATAAAAGGTGACCTAAAGTATAAGAAATAACTAAAGGTAAGTCAGAATAGGTGTTTGCAAAAAGTGGTTTTACCTGGATGCTAAAAGTAAATGTGGCCAAACAGCTATGATAAAACAGAAAAAGCTACAAGTTTAACAGCTCAATTGTCAACATTACCAATGAACTTTAATAAAAAGGCAGCAACTATGATAATGACTGCAGTGAAGTTAACCTAAACGAGGTTAGCCAGAGATTTGCCTGAAATGGGATTATGCTAAAATACCTAAAAATAAAAAAAATCTTTATAGTTTTCGAAGGGGGGTGATTACAATGAACACTTAAAACATTTAAAAGTCAGGAGCATGTATGAGATTACACAAAAGTGATTTGAAGTTATCAGTCTAAAAGTTATTAAAGCGTTTGATGCTAGCAGGCTAGTTAGCACAGCTGGCTAGGTGCTGCAGGCTAACTAACAAACAAACACACGTAGACAGACTTATGCATGCTCCGAATATATACATTACATGTTATCACGCACAGCGAGAACACTTAAATGCTGTCATTAGAGGTAGCGCGAGCTGGTTATTGCGCCGCGATGTCGCTTTCTGTACTTTTACAATTAAAAACAGTCCGACTCGTTTACATATACATGAATAGAGAAACTCCATGCAGACTCCAACCTCTAAAAGTTTGACAATTACATAATTTGTATACATTAAATCAATATTTTTGCATGTTTTGTTTTAAATTCCATTCTGCATCTGATGTTTACCTGTTTCAGCCATCTTGACTCTTTTCAATCTGATAGTGATGTGTCGTTCGCGAGTGATTCGTTCAAAATGAACGAATCTTTCATATGATTCGGGAGTCACGAGTCACAAATCTTTCATATGACTCGGGAATCAGGAAACAGGTAAAACTAAATTATAGATGCAGAATGGAATTTAAAACAAAACAAAAATATTGATTTAATGTATACAAATATTGAACTCACGAATCACTCACTGCGAACTAATAACACTGCGAACTAATCACTCACTGCGAACTAATCACTTACTGCGAATAAATCACTCTCTGCGAACTAATCTTTCACTGTGAACTAATCTTTCACTACAAACGAATTACTCTCTGCAAACTAATTTGTGATTGTGAACTAATCTTTCACAACGAACGAATTACTCTGCAAACTAATCTTTCACTGTGAACTAATCTTTCACTACAAACGAATTACTCTCTGCAAACTAATTTGTGATTGTGAACTAATCTTTCACAACGAACGAATTACTCTGCAAACTAATCTTTCACTGTGAACTAATCTTTCACTACAAACGAATTACTCTCTGCAAACTAATTTGTGATTGTGAACTAATCTTTCACAACGAACGAATTACTCTGCAAACTAATCTTTCACTGTGAACTAATCTTTCACTACAAACGAATTACTCTCTGCAAACTAATTTGTGATTGTGAACTAATCTTTCACAACGAACGAATTACTCTGCAAACTAATCTTTCACTGTGAACTAATCTTTCAGTGATTAGTTCACAGCAAAAGATTAGTTCACGGCGAAAGATTAGTTCACAGAGAATGATCCGTTCACAGCAAAAGATTAGTTCACGGCAAAAGATTAGTTCACGGCGAATGATTAGTTCACGGCGAATGATTAGTTCACGGCGAATGATTAGTTCACGGCGAATGATTAGTTCACGGCGAATGATTAGTTCACGGCGAATGATTAGTTCACGGCGAATGATTAGTTCACGGCGAATGATTAGTTCACGGCGAATGATTAGTTCACGGCGAATGATTAGTTCACGGTAGTGATGTGTCGTTCGCAAATGATTCGTTCAAAATGAACGAATCTTTCATATGACTCGTGACTCCCGAGTCATATGAAAGATTCGTGACTCGTGACTACCGAGTCATATTAAATATTTGTTTATGTTGAACTCACGAATCACTCACAAATCACGCGGCTTGTGGTTTGCTATGCCATTGTAACGTTGGGGGAACGCGTGTTACCTGTGTTTGAACTTCTGACTAAACTAAGAGTAGTTTTTTCGCGGCTATTTTAATTCTACTGTAATGTGTTATTCGTTCTTATAGTCACACTGTTTGCAGACAATTCTACAACTATTAGCGGTGGAATTCTAAAGAATAAAGAAAGCTAAAGGTCGAAAGCAGCGGCAACATGGCGGACATTACTGCTCGGAGTCTGCAGTATGAATATAAAGCGGTGAGCATATAATTCGATCATAAAACTTCTAAATGTTACCCAACACGATTAAAATGTTATGTTGATGACATGCCGACTTTTCAGTAAGTGTTTCGGTTAGGGATTATGTCCTATTTCTGTTACGACTAAAGCCAGTTTAACCGCTTGCTAGCCAGGTAGCTTGGCCTGCTTAATGACTCGGAAGGTGTAAACAAACGTACAACATTAGACATACAACATAAGATAGCTATAGTAGGTAAACGTAACTTTCGTTTTTTTAACCCTGTTGTAGTTTGTACATCAGCACAGGTTGATGGACGCTAATTCACCATTGTTGTATTTTTTGTATTGTCATTAGTTGACATATATTTGAAAGCATAGCTCAATTTAATAATATTTCGTTTATTTATTTATTTGAATTCGAAACTGTTGCAATCCTTATTAAATAAAACAAATGGAATGGAAGAGTTATAAATTCCCAGAATAATACTGTTTTATCACATAAATAATGTATGAGGCAATCTTGCTTTCTGTGTGGGCTATGTTGACATACTGATAATGGAAGCTCACAGAAAGTTGCAGTGTAATGCCTTGTCAGTAAACCTCAGCAGTTGATGTTCTCAACCTCATTCATATTTAGACACAATGAGGCAGTTTAGGAGAGCAACACTGAACAAGCTTGTTGGCAAGTTTTTAATTCAGTTTTGTTTTTTGTTTTTTTGTAGAACTCAAATCTTGTGCTACAAGCTGATCGCTCTTTGATTCACCGTACACGGCGAGATGAACCCACTGGAGAGGTGCTGTCGCTGGTGGGGAAGCTGGAGGGTACAAAAATGGGCGACAAGGCTCAGAGAACCAAACCTCAGAAACTGGAGGAGAGATGAGCCAAGTGAGTAGTAATTTGTCTGCTAAATGTTACTGTAGGTTGAGTTTAAATCCATGTTGTTCTTCTTTACTACATTCAGTTAAGTCCACTTGACACCAATTTAGTTTAAGGGTAATTGTGACATGTGGCTTAATTCAGATTATTTCAGTTTTACTAATTACCTTTCCAGAAAGAGCAGCGGCATTGAGAACATGATGATGTTTCTGTATGATTGTAACAATTGATTTTATATTACCTAATTTATGTTGTATATCGTGCACATTACTTTGATTGATATGAGCCATAATAACTTTTTGCTTTGTTTGTTGCTGCTTATATAGGAGACGAAAGAGAGATGAGGACGGACATGACATCAACAAGATGAAGGGTTTTACCCTCCTTTCTGAAGGCATTGATGAAATGGTGGGCATCGTGTACAAGCCTAAAACCAAAGAAACCAGAGAGACTTATGAGGTGCTGCTGAGCTTCATCCACGCTGCTCTAGGAGATCAGGTCAGTGATTTAAAAACGACAGCTATTTTTCTGACATGATATTTAACTTGTGTTATTGTATAATTGACAACAGCCATGTGACATCCTTTGTGGAGCAGCAGATGAAGTGTTAGCAGTGTTAAAAAATGATAAGATGAGGGATAAAGAGATGTGACGAGAAGTGGAGCAGCTGCTGGGGCCTGCCGATGACACACGGAACCATGTTCTGGTCCATCTGGGCAAGAAAATCACTGACTATGGAGGAGACAAGGATTAACAGAATATGGGTGAATGCATTTGTGTGCTGGATGTGATTCAAATTTAATAATACATTTTATTTCATAGGCGCCTTTCTGTCACCCAAGGACACCTTACAGTGAATACAAAGATAACAACACAGCATTTAAAAAAAACAGATGAGTTTTAAGTGCAGACTTGAATTGTGGGAGTGAATTGATGTTCCTCAAGATGGGGGGTAGAGAGTTCCAAAGCTGGGGAGCAGAGCGACTGAAAGCTCTGTACCCCATGGTGGTGAGACGGGCGGAGGGGACAGTCAGATGAATGGAGGAGGACGATCTGAGGAAACGGGAGGGAACAGTGACATAAAGAAGATCTGAGATGTATGGTGGAGCAGAGTTGTGGATGGCTTTGAATGTGAGCAGAAGGTTCGTAGTAGTAGTTAATACGGAACTTGATCGGGAGCCAATGAAGCTGTTGCAGGACACGAGTGATGTCGTGGATGGAAGGGGTTCTAGTAATGATGCGGGCGGCTGAGTTCTGGACCAGTTGGTGCTAATGAAGAGACTTGTGGGTGAGACCAAAGAGGAGGGAGTTGCAATAGTCAAACCGGGAGGTGACAAGGCTGTGAACCAGGATGGAAGTGGTATGGGGAGTGAGGGAGGGGCGGAGGCGGTTGATATTGCGTAAGTGGAAATAGGTGGATCGGGTGACGTTGTTGATATGAGATTGAAAAGAAACTGTGTTGTCGAGAGTGACACCCAGACTCTTAATATTTTAAGAAAATTTGAGGTGAACCAGTATTTTATTTTTAAGTCAAGCAGTCTAAAAGAGAAGAGGGCAGGAGGTTGGAATCAGGTTTGCTGGCTGGTTAGAGCTGGGTGTCATCGGCGTAGCAGTGGAAGTTTATGGAGTGTTTGAGGAAGATATTACCAATTTGTAGTTTATGCCACACAGTAGTATATTTAGAACTTTTTGCTGAAATTCGCACCTTCCCCTTTATTTCCACAGATGACAACATTGATGAAACTTACGGTGTAAACGTTCAGTTTGGATCTGATGAAGAGGTGAGGATGATCATTTATTTTTGCCCTTTCTCACAAACTTCTAAAACTGATATTGGATCTGGTGTGTTATTTAAATGTTCTTTTTTCAAACAACATTTTGTGTAACATCTGTTGCATTGGTCATCATTGTTTTATTGTCATAGAAAGGAGATGAAGACAAGTATGGTGAAGTACGGGAAGAACACTCGGATGAAGACAGTGAAGGAGAAGAGGCTGATGTGGGCAGCACCCTTACGGCTAATGTAAGTGTAGCATCAATGTTCTTTTGGTCATACCATGCTATTTATACATTCTTTAAATGTATATATAGTAAAGTAAACGGACAAATCTATGTTTTTTTGTAGCTTGGTGCTGCAGGAGACGTAATGACAGTGAAGAAAAAGGACCTTCATCCTCGAGACATTGATGCCTTCTGGCTTCAGCGTCAGCTCAGTCGTTTCTATGATGATGCCATTGTCTCACAGAAGAAAGCAGATGAAGTTCTCGAAATTCTTAAGGTATCATTTAACTTTTTATATGTATTTCTGCCTTTTATTGCATGAATCAATTTTTCACATAACCTGTGTCAGAACAACATCTCAGTCTTTTAAATTATGAGTGTTTGAAAATAGTCATGTCATTTATAAATCACTTGTTCTGCACCTGCGTAGATTGAACGAAGTTATACAAGGAGGCCTGAATCAGAAATTAATCAAAACATGTAAAATTATCTGTTTACAAAATAGCCTAGTGCTAAACACTGAAAGATACTTGCCATATTTTGATCCGGGTCACGGCACCAGTTGAAAGATTCTTGCTGTGCAAGGTGTCTTCAGGCAAGGAATGGAAACAGCCGGTAGATGGTCGATTCGTTTTAATAACAAAAACGTTTAATAACAAAAACAAAACAGGTCCAACAATAAAGCAAAATAAAACGACTGGAGATGTATTCAAGGAAATCTTGTACAACAGTTG